TTAACAATCCAATATACAATATTTAAAACATGTTTTTTTTCCTTTTTCATTTCTTCTTTGTTTTTTGTTTGTTGCTTTTACTTCTCCGAATTCTGGTTTCTGCTAATTCTGAGAACTCAAAGTTAAGACGGGATATTTACAATGCAGATAAGATATGGATGTCATGCTCAAAGTAGGCATTCAGTACAGGTACTGATAAAATTTCTAATATCTAATTTGTTATTGCTCATTTTTCAAACCCCAGAATCTCAAATTACAATAAAAATAGAGATGGACAAAACGAGAAAAATGTGTATATATATATATATATATATATATATATATATATATATATATATATATAACCATAATCGTAGGATTCCTAGTAAGGGTCGATTTCCCTCGCATTATTTTCCGGGTTTGTTGCGTTAATCAGTGTTCAATGATATGCACCAGCAAGCTAGCTAGATAGATAGATAATGAAAAGCTACAGATTTGTGTGAACAGAGAAATACATTTAAACTGCCATTCGCCCTTCAGAACGTGATTTCCACAGATTCCTTTTTCTTTATTATCTGTTAATTGTTAGGACTTCTAGGTAATAATGGGTGATTTTCCGTTGCTTTTGTTTTGAATTCAGTTTTCCTTTTCCTAGAGTAGCCGCTAGCCAAGGCTAGAGAGCTCAGTTTATACTGCTCTTTAACCCACATCTGATGGAGGGATTTGATTTATACCTTTTAGTTCATTAGTACGTACTGAAAGCAATTTGAATTCGGCTCGTCGATTCTTTTCGTAACGTTAACCCTTCCGCAACTCACACATCCAGATTGAGAGACAGAGAAAGAAAGTCTGAATGAGAGAGAGAGAGAAAGAAAGAAAGAAAGCAGTAATGAATAAGAAAGAGGCCGATAATTTTGAACTGAGTGAGAGAGATATGGACGGAATGAGATTGATTATCTACCTACCAAACTTTGACTGATAAAAGTGCCCATACAAAGAGGAGGTGATGAAGGAATTGGGATGTATAAAAGAAGAAAGCTTAAATATGCAAATATTAGCATTCTTTGTTTATTTCTTTGAATAACTGCCATCATTGCGGTCATTTGTTCCATAATTGATGCTATGAAAACACCTAATATTAAACTTTCGTCCCCATTAATATAAAAAAATAGTAATCAATATTTACCTTCCCTTTCAAATCTGATAAAAACAAAAAGTGACATTTTCAAGCTGGTACAAATATGAAATAAAATGACACCAACATTCACTTGGACATTTCATAAGGGGAATTATAAATATATTCATATAAAATTAAAAACGGTTTTGGCAATAAAAATTCCAGCAATTTCTTTTTCAAAATAAAAACAATACTGACTGGTTCAATTCAAAGAAAAAACGATATTGAAAAACATACAATTTGTTTTCTTAAGTACATAAAACAGTAATACATAATCGTGCGATTTGGTTGTGATATACAAACATTTCTTGTTTGGCTATTGTACAGACCCAACAAAGTCTGGATGATGACCGTGACACATGTAATTTTTTTCTTTAAATTACGATTTCTTATATATCAACACCATACTCTGGTTGCAAAGTGCTGTGTGGCTGGAACAAGTGAATTGGTTGGTGGGCGAACTGAGGATATTCATTTTTTTTCTATTTCATTGTTTTCTTTTTTTTTTTTTTTTCCTGTTTATTTATACAGTCTTCCTCGGTTAATATCTTACAATTGTTTCCTTCTTCAATTTCGGTATAATTTGATCTTAAGATCTCAACTTTTTATGATCGACATTTTTAAAGTGGTTAGTTTGAACGTACGGAGCGTGATTTTGTCAGCTTCTTGGACAGGAAGTAAAGGTTGGTGATGACTAGGAAAAAAACATTGGAAAGAATGATTTAACAAGTGGCTATGGAAGTAAGGATATGTTGAAGGTTTCCTTTGAGAAAGCGGGAAACAGACAAAAGAAAAAAGTTCTCCAGTGTTAGTTTCAATTAACTTGGTCATTTGCCAGAAGTGATTTCGCCCGTTGTGATAAATCGAAACATTTGGTCTTCATAATCATGCAATCAAGTAATTATATGCCACACAATAATTATTGTTGTTCTGGTGGAAGAGTATCCTAATGCCTGATAAGTGTTCTTGATACATTAGTCCTCGTTGTACGTTTGGCATAAGATTTTGTAATAAATACATGTCAGAAGTTAGAGTTGTACTTTTCTGAAGTTATTGACTCTGCATTCGCTATTTGATAAAATTAACTTGGTAGGACCTAAAGTCATCCAAAATGCATATATTTTGGGAAAGGAAGATTGTGAGTATCCTCGTTTGAAATTCTGACCTGGGTGCGAACATTTGTAGCGGTGTGAAGAGCATGACTATTTTAGGCATGAAGCAGGCTGTAATCAACTCTACATTCTTTTGGTAAGAATGTTTAGCTGAAAATGTTTTACATATATACTTTTTTTTTTTACACTGCAAACAAGAGATTTTTATGGGGCTGATAGTCTTTTGTAATACAAAAGAATGGATTCAATTTTCAGATCTTTGTAGTGTGTGGGCCAAACATTTTTCTTATTATTATTATGAGAAGAAATATTTTATGGACGGATGTAATTTTGCATGTATTTACTAAAATTAACTTATTAATGTACAAGGCCACAATATTGGGGAACGTCAATGAGAATTGAACTTACAATACCGTAAATGCTCGACTTATCACTCGGAGCGCTAATTTTTAAAAAATGTCGTTTGAATAGGGATGCTTACGCGAAAGTGCATGCTTATTTAAAAGTGCAATTTCTTCAGTTTTCATCTTTAATTTATACAACTATAAAGACTGCACGAGGCAGCATAAAAATCAGCAACAATAATTCTGTTACTTTTAACACAGATATAATTTCGTTAAATTGTTCAAAGTCCTTTATCAACATCTTAATCGTCTACAGCGTCCTTTTTATGAGGTAAAAGAGTACCTTTTTTTTTTCTTCCAGCGATGTATGTGGCAATGACTGCCAATAAAGAAAACGTGATTATTCTGGACAATGAACTTAAAAATATAAATACAAACGCTTTGAGTTTAAATACGAATCCGAAGATAATTTTTCGAGTGAAAGCAGGTCTTGATTAAATTAACTTCTAGTCTTTAAACTCCCAGATCCAGATAAACATCCACTTTCGTTTGTTAAATATATCCGTTTAATCGACTTGGGGCGCTTATTTTAAAATCTTTGGGGAAAGAGTAGCGCTTATTCGAGGGTGGGTGTAAATCGAGAATTTACGGTTTTAAAAATATTCGGTAAGATTCACTTGCGGATCACGACTCTACAGTGAAGAGAGCTATATACATAATAAATAATACAAAAAAATACACAAAATCGGAAATAGGAAAAAAGACTAGTCGCTCACTCATATTGAGAAGTTACTCGCCAAAAAAAAAAAAAAAAGCTTCAAAATAGAGAAGATAATACTCCTTCTTATTAGGTCTGAAATGAAAGGCTATATGGTCGATGTTTACTCTCGCTTCTTGAATAAAAAGTAGGGTGAATTCTTTTTCAAAATCTAATAAGTGGAAGGTTTGGACAAAGAAAGCAGTGTGCGTTGGAAAAATTTATAGGCGTGTTAGAATTAATCTAGATTCTAGTTTATTTGAATGAATGGGTGGTGTATAAACATTCAGTAAATAATTTTAATGAAAATTAAAACTATTTCCTCCGATATCAGAATTTCTACCGAATATATTAAAATCATTATTAACTATCAAAACATTTTAAAGCTTTATAAATATAAAACTCATGTTTCTAATGTCCTTCATTTTTTATGCTTTTATTCTGTTTTCATCAGTTTCGCAATTCTAAATGATAACGTTTTTAGAATTTAATTTTTTTCTAAGAATTTGTCACCAATATCAATAGGCAAGGAGTCAAAATAAAAGTAAGGCTGGAATTTGTTTAAAAAATTAATAAATTGTAGTTGGTGGTTGGTAAGATTATTACAGACCCAAGATTGTTTGCAGTCTGTCACAGTTATTTACTATTGAAAATCTGTACTACAGTGGGATACTAGGGAGCCTTTTATGGAGTATTTGCGAAAAAAAAAAAAAAAATACAGAAACGCGATAATACTGAAGACGTAAAAAAATATACTAATCATTAATTTGTTAATTTTCAACCCAATGAGTAAGTTCTATCTAGGGAACAGTCCCCACATTTAACAGTTCATATGAGTAATGCGCTTCATCACAAAAATGCTACCACCCACATATATATGTGTGTTTGTGTGTAAATAGATATACGTTACTTTTAGTTGACTTCCATTTTTTTAAACAGTAAAATTAACATTTATCGGCCTAGATTTCCGAAAATCTTATTAAGAAAAATGTACCTCTAATTAGGAATCTAACCTGCGATCCTTTTATCTGAGAAGTTACATTTAGCCATTTCCACAGAGACCATTAGAGGAAAACAGGGCTCACTTGACAAACGTACATCACTTGTTGGGTCACTTCTGTGTCTATACCTGCTAACTTATATGTTCATACTCGAAACGTAAACAAAGTTATTTTAGCCATTCATGGGTTTTGGTTTTAATCCGACATTATTTCGTATTACTATAAGCGTTAAATTTATAATAACAAGAAATAATGATAGTAGGCATCTGTTTATCTCGTGTGATAAAAGACAGGGCTCTGTTTGGTCAAAATTCAGTCCTTTGGTTGTGAAATTGGAGTGACCTCATCAGGGCACAGGCCTGGGTGATGGTATATGGAGGCCATGCGCTACGCTTTCTCGGCCGTACCGACAAGATCCAAAGGAATACAGGGCATTACATTTGAGGCCGACTTGGCTGCAGGATTTGCCAGAAAGTTGTCAGTGTTGACAACCAACCGCCTTTGTAGCTCCACTCAGTTTTCTGCCTGGATTTACTTCCATGGCCCTTTCCGTGTTTGGATATGATCGCAGCGGAGGTTTTAAAATCAGTGCTTTCATTCCCCTAGATGGACTGCCTTTCTGGGCTGTAGAGAAGCAGTGACGGATTAAAATATTATCTATCTATCTATCTATCTATCTATCTATCTATCTATCTATCTATCTATCTATCTATCTATGCGTGGTGTATGCGTGGTGTATGCGTGTGTGCGCACGCGCGTATGCAAAATGCGACATACAAACATTTATTACTGTGGTCTTTTGCAAAAATACCATAGCAGTTTGGTCAAGCTATATATATTAGAATTTGCTCTGGGCTTTGCTATTTTTCGTGCAACCGTAAGGTGCTGTATCGGAATTTGGTTAATTGAACAAGAGATTACGGAGAAAAATAATTTCTAAAGAAATAACCTAATATGGCAGAATTATTTGTCTATTCGATCCGACAAATATAAGCAAATGCTCTACCCATAATCTAAACATTGACACACACACACACACACACACACACACACACACACACACACACACACACACACACACACACACTTAAACAAACAGGAGAATCTTTATAAATTTAACATGTTATATGTTGATTTAAAGATTGTTTTTACTTGATCCTTTTTAAATTATTCTCTCAGATTTAATCCATATTTTTGACTTCTCTCTCTCTCATATATATATATATATATATATATTCACATTCAGTAAACTCTTGCGTCTTAGTGGCTTTATCGCCTTGCTTGGGGTGAAATGATTATATCTATCTATCTATCTTGAGCATTATTCCCCAATAAATATAATAAATTTTAAACAGACACACACACACATATATATAACCACATTATAGACATAAATGTATATTACTTACATATACATATATATGTGTGTGATGCACGAGGGAAAATATTCTACATTTCTTTATAGGCACTCAAAGATATCTTGCAAATCTAAATAAACCTAAGTGTCCTTTCAAACTAAAAAAATATACTTTTCCGAAATCATTACAGGAATGTTGTTCTTAGCGAAAACTTCACGTAAATTTATTTTGGGGGTCTGTGAACGTTCAAAATTTTTCTCATATAAAATAATGTTAATTACCTCTTCATTTTATGTCATTTCACCTTTTTTAAAGAGACACACACACAGAGGCACACACACATATATATATATATTTAACTTATTATTATTACATACATATATATATATATATATATATATATATATATATATATACTTTAACTTATTATTATTACATACAGATATATATATATATAACAGACATATATATATATATATATATATATATATATATATATATATATACTTTAACTTATTATTATTACATACAGATATATATATATATAACAGACATATATATATATATATATATATAACAGATATATATATATATATATATATATATATATTTTAACTTATTATTATTACATACAGATATATATATATATATATATTAGATATATATACTTTAACTTATTATTATTACATACAGATATATATATATATATATATATATACTTTAACTTATTATTATTACATACAGATATATATATATATATATAACAGACATATATATATATATATATGATAGGATAAAGAAAAAATAGGAAACGGTTATCAATCAATTATGTTTCACTTTGATTAAAGCTTCAACAGACAACTTCTCTGAAGAAGCTTTAATAAAAGTGAAAGATTTTTGATTGATAAACGTTTCCTATTTGTTCTTTATACTATCATTCAGTCGGATTCCGATTCATATTTTATCTCACTTCATATATATGTGTGTGTGTGTGTGTGTGTGTGTGTGTGTTGGTGTTAAATTTGTTCATTTGCGAACAGATTTATTTTGCTGATTATTAATGATGTAATAATTGATATCTAACATTATAATTACAAAGATAGCTTACCATAAAAAATTATCTTCCAGAATTTTTGGTGAAATACAATGTTTGTTATTGTTTACCGCCCCCACCCAATTGTACGGGGAATTTATCAGATATTTATAAAGTATCTTTTCTATGAATATGACTAGTCGTTGCGTTTTATTTTGCGGCGTGCCTTTTTATTAAAATGTGAAGTAATTGTAGCACGTTGTCTCTTTCTGGAGAAGAAACATTGTTTTGGGTTGGTTTTCACTGGCGGAGACAATTCGTCCTTTGGTGAAGTTGACGGTAAAAAGTTTTCTACAGAAGCAGTATCTTTATCAGGACATTTCCCGATTTCCAACCGACAAGATTCCCCAAGTTTAGCATTTTCCATCTTTTCGTCTTCATTTTCCTCTTCTGTTCCATCTTTGCTTCGACTTTGTTCAATCAAATTTGAATCTTTACACAGCGTTTTGTAACATTCATTTTTTAAAGATGAAGCGGTTTCCGTTTCTAGTTCTGTTTCCAGTTTTGTGGAATCGTCCAGATCGCTTTGATTGTTAAACTTTTCCTTGTTATAATGCTGTTCTGGAGTTGTGACTTCCATAGAAGGGTCCATGTAATCTCCCTTCAGCCACACATGCCGCGAACCGTTGATGTAATGGCGGAAATGTCGAAAAACACGGTTTCCGAGTGAATTATACTCTTCTGGAATCAACTGGAAAATAAATCAAAGATTAAATAAAATAAATCTACAAAAAAAAAAAAAATATTCAAGTATTTCATAATGTGAGCAACGTAGAAGTTTTAAAGAAAATATTACGTTTTTGGGAATCAATTGTAATGAATCAATCATGAAATTCAATTATCTAGGAAGGATATTTTTTCTTTTAAGTTTTTTTCTTTTAATCGAGTTCATCCCAAAGCAATGCAGTAAAGGCCATTAAGGTACAAAGGCTTAATTGTCGTGGAGGAGTTAGAAACCGAAACATTACGAAGGAGCGAGAACAAAAGAAGAGTAATCAGGAGAGCAGTATATGGCGATTGACATGGAACCGGGAATTCCACAAGCGAGAAATTCGAGATAAGGAACTATTAGCATAGAATTTACAGTTACAACTAGCCAACTCGCCAGTCTAGTACTGCGCTTAAATTAAAAAGGTCTAGGTACCATAGCGAAGAGCTCATCAGAACAAGTACCATGAAAGACACAGGAAGGTAAACCTTACGGCGGTGGGAAGTGATTGACGTTGAGACGCAAGATCAGGATCAATAATATTGCTGATTCTTCCTTGGATTATATAAAGGGGCTCTAAGTAAATAGCAAGATATTTTGGATATCAGCTGCCATTTTGACCATATCAGACTGATTAGATTTACTATTGTGACTGGATGGTAGATTTAGATTTAAAGCTGAAAAACAAGGTCGTCGTTGAAAGTCGGAAGAAAGGGCTAAATAATTCTGAGAAGAGAAATGTATGGTTGTCAGTAAACGGACCAGACTAAGATGTAAATTGGGCATCGGGGGCGTTCGAATGAAGCAAGTGTGAAAATTCAATTATCTGGGAAGAGTCATAATAGTCAACGAAATATGTGACATAGAAATCCAAAGGCGCGGAGGAATAGTGAAAGATACTTTGAAGACACTGAATAAAATATAAAGAAATAAAAAATAATATTAGAAACAAGAGAAAAGAATGATTGAATGCTGTGAGATTTTTAGATTCATGTACGGCTATGAAAGCTAGATAATTCCTTCCCTGACTGAATAAGTTAGTCTGTATTTAATGATTGTCCTAACCCTTTCATCTGCTGGTAATTGTTGATATTCGATATGCACTATAGTTATTTAATTCTTTTAATAAATATATTAAAATTAATATTAGAAACGAGTAAAAAGAGTGTTTGCCGACTACTAACCATATTTTCTTGTGTATATTACGACTCATGTCTCTAAAGCTAAAAAAAGTGAATAAATTACACTCTACGATCCGATAGTACAGTTCTCTCTATGTAATTATATATATATATATATATTGAAAAGTTGTACCATATTATTTTATTAAAATATCCCTGTCGTACATTTCACTAGAACATTTATTTTTTCACGAGATTAAAGAATAGAAATGAACCGGATATTTCGCCATTGCGTGTTTCTTTTTCTAATTTCCATTTCAAAACTTATTTTCGAATTTTCGGTGAAAGTTGATTTGTTGGAACATTAATGTCATCAAAACATGACATAGCTTGTGTTTTCTCTTTATTAATTTTTTAAATCAATTTCAGTGACTTTCCTGTCTTTGAGACAAATATCGTCCAGTTACGCTGATTCTTAAAGAACAAATATGGCCGACATATCAAATACCATTTGTAAACAATTGTTACCAACACCTACTTACCTTGTGTTTTATTATCTATTGTGCTGAGTGTATTTGCAATCTTGCTGTTTCAAATAAGAGGTTTTGTAAGCTGAGTAAAATTTCTAAAACGTGTACATCTGTATATTACGACCATGATTTTTTGTCTTTAATTTTCGTTCAAATTTCTCGTATTATACACACGATAATACGGTATATATGACTGTGAAAGCTGGATGGTCCCGTCAAAAATTATAAGAATACCTGAGACGAAGTCCCACCGATGAATGTTGATAATGTCATAGACTATGACTATGGAATCACTGATTCATTTTCTACATCTAATCAATACATTGTAGGTTATTTAAAGCCAGTAAATATTGTTTTTTTTTATATTCTAAGAATTTGTTTTTGGAGATAATAATGATTTAGTGATAGAAGTCTTACTAATTAAGTGTGAACATAAACTAAATAACGAGATATTAGCAACTATATATGTGTATGAGAACGTACATATACAGATGAGCAGATAAATATTTAAGATGTAAAGAAAAGAGTGCTTAATGTAGATAAACAGTGCTATAAAGTATATGTTAATAAATACACATATACCTATGTTTGTAGTGCAACTCAGAGTTTCATGATTACCCAATTCAACCAGCACAAATGGTAATAAACTATAGTTCATTTACCATTTGTGCCTGATGAATTGAATAACCATGAAACTTTGAGTTGCACTTCAAATGTAGGTCTATATATATATATATATATATATATATATATATATATATATATATATATATTATACAGAGTGCGATGGATAAATTGTCTAAATTACGCAAAAATTAAAATAACACCGATATCTCATTTTAACAGATATATTTACCAGAATTTCACAAAAAATATCTTGAAATATTAAAGAGTAGATTTATTCAATAAAATCGCCATTGGCTTCAACTTCGGAATCTTTTGAATCTCTTTTGAATAGCCTCCTTGTTTAAGTTGGTGAATGCTGCTATAATCTTTGCCTTCAGTTCATCTTTAGTGTTGTAAGGAGTTTTGTTGTTCTCCCGCTCAACTGCGCCCTACACATAATAATCAAGGGATTGCAGTTTAGGGAGTTAGGTGGCCAGATGTAAGGAGTGATGTGGCCGCAGAAAATGTCTACTGGCCATGACTGAGTTCTCCTGCTTGTGTGGCATAGTGCAGAGTCCTGTTGCCAGACATAGGATCTTCCAGCAGCCATCCTCTTGACCCAGGGCAACACTACCTCCTCAAGGCACTTGATGTCGTCCTTCCTGTTGAATCTGAGGCCCTGTGGGAAGATGAATGAAGGCATAATGTCGCCATCACTAGTGATCACTCCAAACACCATGATGTTGACTGGATATATCATCCAACTATTTCCGAATCCTCTGCACTGTCATTGATTGACACCCAAACACTCTGAAATGTTTGTATTGGAACTTCCGGTGCGAATGCCAAGTAATACAGCATGCCGTTTCCAAATTTCTGGCGGCGTGAATTTCGTCATGGAGCTCTTTTTCTCACAGATGGTGCCCAACTGATGTTACTATACTGTGCATTCGACACAATCATAAACAAACAATGCGCATGCGCGAAATTAAAAATATAAATGGCGGCAGTTTACACATCGAACTCTGTACTGAGCACACGAAGGAAATCTTTCTCGTTAGAGTCCATCTTGCACATTTTCAAGTCTACCATTCGTCTGTACATTGCATAATGCTGCCATATCTGGTGCCCCTGCTATTCATCGCGAGGTTCTTGACAAAATCCAAAGAAGAATTTGTAATGTAATCGATCCTGACTTGGCATTCGATTTCAATCACTTTCTCACCGACGTGGCGTGTCTTTTCTCTGTCTTTTCTGCAAATATTTTCATGGCAACTTCTTTAATGAGCTTTCCCCCTGTTACCTCGACTACATGAATTTAAGCATGATTGGCTTCTAGGTCCCACCCGTTTAGTCTTGAAATATTTAAATGAACCGCCACTTCTCCTCCAATGGTTTCTTTTCTCGCACTTACGGCCTGTGGAACTCTCTTCCGTTTACTTGTTTCCCTGATAACTACAGTCTTCAAAAATCTAAATGCAACGTCAATCGCCATCTTCTATCTTCTTGTATTCCGTTCATCTTTTGTCCTTTACACAGTCCTTCCTATACACAGTTTTTTCTCTCACTTTCACTCTCTGTACCTGCCGTGCTTGGGGTGAAATGATTGAATATATATATATATATATATATATATATATATATATATATATATATATATATATATATACCAGTCTACTTGGGCGGCTAGCTAATCCCTGTTTTAGACGTCTGCTCAGGCACGTTTGTGTTTGTTCAACATCCACAGAGGCCACTTGTTGTTTCATACTGCAACTATGCTAATCGGACCTTAGTTACAGTTTCTGGAGCGAGCGCATTATCTAGCGTAACCAACAGTGTGAACAAGGCCAGTACTATCAAACTCTTGGTCACGATGACTTGTGACTTATATATATATATTGTTTAAAGTTTTTTGTTATTTCTTGTTTGTTTTTCTTGTGTGTGTACATGATATTTATTTTGGGAATGTTTGTCCAAATAATTCTAAGCGGTTTTGGTTATTCTATTAACCATTTTCAAGGATTTGGGTTGTGCTATTGTAAATGATTTGTAAGTCGCTGAAAGGTAAACATTATCAATTCATACGCTCAGTATGTGCGCGTGACGTAGTGGTTATCTGCGTGCAAAGTGAAATTGGTGTACCGAGTTCAAATTCCAGTCGTGTTCGTTTATCTCGGAAAAATATCAGTTGAAAATATATGAATCCATCCCTTCTCACACCACTTTAACTTTGAATTGAAAATAAACTTTAGGATGAATGGCTCAGATGCGGTTAGTGTACATAATGAGTTACGTACATTTTGAATATATATATATTTTTGGTTGATACTCTCAAGTCTTGAAGAAACGTGGCGTTTTAAATTCTTTTTCAAAATGTAACAAACTGAAGTGTATTCTGCAAATCTGAGGAGTGGGTAGGGTTAATTATTTCTTAGACGTTTTCACGAAAAATAAATAAGCAGAGAGAGAGAGAGAGAGAGAGAGAGAGAGAAGAGGGGGGGGATAAATGCGGAGTTGGATTTTTTTTAATTAATTAATATTTTTTTAATTAATAAGCAGGTGATAGGTACGATTATTACGGACCCGTGAGTATATTCCGTTGTTTCTCCATTTTTTAATAACTGAAGGGTTTAGGGAATGCTGAAATGGAAATTAATTCTAGATTATGAATTTCTTACATAATCAAAATGTCTGATCATATTTGCTGACACATTTATAACGCCACGTTCAAATTACATATTCGTGTTACATGCTAATCATGTGCATGCTCTGGGATTACATATGCTATTTACCTCAATTTTCAGTTCGACAGACCCAATCTTCAGTTTGGCCTCGTACAGCGTCTTCTCTTTGGCTACATGAACACCTTGGCTTCGTACTGTGCACTTTTTCACAAGGTTCAGCCGTTGGACAATTTCTGGTCTCAGAGTCACTACGTCACTGCCAGAATCTACCATGAAAACTGAAATAAACAATATGAAGTGTTAAATTATTCGTGAATTTATTATTTAAACTAAAGGACTTTATCTAATTGATTAGGATACACACGAAAAGTTGGTATGCCGAATTCAAATTCTATCCAAGACCTTTGCATTCGCTTGCCTGAATCCATCGCTCATCATAGGCTTAATAGTAAGGCAGACTGGGCCCTCTAGGTTTGGTTGGCAACCAGTCTAGGAGAAGAGCAAGTCTAAATTCAAAAGCGGCTGAGCATGGGTCTAGCAACTCCAGTCTGTAAAAACGTATTTGATAGAAACAACACCACAGCAACGAGTAGCGTGGTGATGGTTTTGCACTATACAGCACAAGAGTCTACAGGCTTATTACAGTGCCTTGCACAAGTATTCCCACCTGTTTTGAACTTTTCCACATTTTGTAGTGCTACAGACTTAAATGGTCTTTTTACCATTTGATCAACACAAAATGCATAGTGCTTTGAAGGTGAAAAATACATTTTATTGTAACGGAGCAGTCTTCTCTTTGAAGTATAAGTATTTATCAACCCCTGAGTCTATACTTTGTACAACCACCTTTTGCTACAGTTACAGCTGCATGTCTTTTGGGATATTCTCTACTAGTTTGGCAACATCTAGAGACTTAAATTTGTGTCCATTCTTCTTTGCAAAATAGCTCAAGTACATTCAGATTGAATGGCGACCGTCTGTGAACACCACTTTTCAAGTTTTGTCACAAATTCTTAATTGGATATATGTCTGGGCTTTGACTGAGCAATTCTAACACATTAATATACTTTGGTCTAAACCATTCTGTTATAGCTCTGGCTGTATGTTTAGGGTCATTGCCCTGCTGGAAGATGAACTTCCAACACAGTCTCAAGACTATATCAGGTTTGTTTTCGAAGATATTCCTGTATGTGGCTTCATTTATCTTCCTTTGACTAAACTCTGACTAGATTCCCTGATAAATAAAAGCATCTCTATACCATGATGCTACCATCACCATATTTCACGGTGGGGATGTTGTGCACAGGGTCATGTGTAGTGTTAGATTTCCGCCAAACACAGCGTTTTGCATTAAGGCACAACAGTTCAATTTTGGTCTCATCTGACAAGAGCAACTTTATCCACATATTTGCTGTCTCTCCGCTATGACCATCGGTAAAATGCAAACGGGATTCCTTGTGATTTTCTTTCAACAATAGTTTTCTTGCCATTCTTCCATAAAAGCCCATGTTGTGAAATGTACGACTAACAGTTGTCTTGTGGAAAGATTCTCCCGTTTGAGCTATGGATCTTTTCAGCTCCTCCAGAGTTACCATAGGCCTCTTGGATTAATTTTCTCCTTGATCTGCTGTCATCTTAGGCGGATGACCTTGTTTTGGTAGGTTTGTCGTTGTGCCATACTTGTTCCATTTTCGGATGATAGATTTAATACTGCTTTCGTGAGATGTTTAAAACATGGGATTTTCTTATAACCTAATCTTGCTTTATACTTGTTCACAACTTTATCCCTGACCTGTCTGGTAGCTCCTTGGTCTACATGATGTTGTTTGTTCATTAATATTCTCTAGGAAACGTCTGAAGCCTTCACATAACAGGTAAATTTAATTGCTGAGCACATCAAACAAAGATCATAACTCTTTTTTTTATTCTACACAATAGAAATTGTCATAATCAGGTGGATTCTATTTACTAATTATATAACTTCTGAAGGCAATTGATCCCATTGGATTCGACTTAAGGGTTTTACAGTAAAGTTTGTGGGTGTGGGATGCGTATTCACTCAACGCTTTTAAGATTTTTATTTATAAATAATTTTGAAAACTATCTAATATTTCCCCCTCTTCAAAATGATGCACTATTTTGGGGATAGGCCATTATAATTATCCTCAATAAAATATATTTAAATTTTTGGTTGTTATGTGACAAAATGTGAAAACATTCAAGGCATTGTAAATAATTAAGATGATGCTTTTTAAAAACTATTTTTTCCTACTGGGTGGGAAGATCATTTTCAATTTCCTTTTAAATAACAAAAGTGCTTACCGATTTCTTCCTGTTGGCCTTTGTCTTTCGTTGAGAAAATGGTTGCATCAATGCAGAGGAAATCGAATTTGGCGTACTCCAAATAATTCGGTTTCATCCATTTTCCATAGGCCACTGGATATTCCACATCGTTACTTGACTGTGACTGTTTCTGGAGGCGAACTACTATTGACAAAAATCAATAAAACAATTGACAAAAATCAATAAAACAATTGACAAAAATCAATAAAACAATTGACAAAAATTGCTTCTAGAGATGAACCATCATTGGCAAAACATTTTCTAAAAAGATGACAAAATATTTTTTTAATTACTTCACCCCAAGCAAGGCGGTAACGCCACTAAGACTACTGGAAATGAAAGAGAAGGAACGTATTTTAGAAGGAATTGGAAACCCAATAATAGTATAAATTTCAGAGTTTAGGTGGAGACGTTAGAAGTATAGAGTTGAAGTAGAATTTATGAAAACTGAACCGGAAACACAATCCTAAAGAGCAAAGAAGGGATAAACCTCTACTCCTGTTCAAAAGACCGGGAGGAGTGTTTCTTCTGAAGATGAATTAATATAGAGAAAATTTGACAAAAAATATTCTGGAGATGAGCCACTACTGAGAAAAACTGCTCATTTCTTTTTAAAATTAAAGATTAAAACATGATTTTAGAAATCTTTGGTTTTGTAGAAAGCCGAAATGTGGTACCCTTTAACGTTCAGGACTGAAAGATGCTAATTAATATCCCCTTCTTGAAATTAACGCCTTGTCTTCATTTTGTCTTCCGCAATCTGCTGTGACTTATACTTATTTTCCTACGATGCTATTTCATTTCCGGGGAATCATTATTGTTTTATTTTTGGCTAAGACACGTCAGCGAAAATATTTTTCAACTTTGCAAAATAAAATCTGGCAAATAGAATTTTTAAGCTCGTTTTCTTGTGTACCTCATATGCAGAAGAAAATGCATAACGTCTAAGATAAAACGATTAGATAGGGGGAGCGAAAGAAAGTGAGAGTGAGAAAGAGACAAAGTGTGTGAGAGATAAAAGCAAGAGAAAGAAAGAGTGAAGTGTGAGAAAGAAAGACAGAAAGAGGAAGAGCGGGAGAAACAAAGGTAGATATTGTAACAAAAATAAAGAAAAAAGAAATAGTGTGAGAAAGAAAAAAGAATGAGAGAGCGAGTGAAAGAAAGATAGAAAAAGAAAGAAAGCTAAAGTAAAAGAGAGATAGAGAGTGAAGGAGAAATAGAGATAAAGAAAAAAGAAAGGGAAGAGAGCGAGAGAAAAAGAAAATAGGAAGAAAGATAAAGAAAGTGAAAGGAATATTTATCTCTATTTCTTTCTCTCACACTCCATCTCTAAGTGTGAGAGAGAAATAGAGATAATGAAAAAGAAAAAAAAAGTGAGAGAGAAAGAAAGAGAGAGAGAGAGAGATTTAAAGCAATGCACTTATATATATATATATATATATATATATATATATATATATAAATTACCAACAATACCTATTTATAGTAGAATTACCAACATGAAAGAGGTTTTTATGTTATTAATCCTTATATCCTACAATTTCTTAAATCAAACTATATTGCCCAATATAACTTCAACAAAAATACAACATAAAACACATATATCACCGCCTCTAGTAATCATATGCATACAAACATGCATATGCACAAAAGTTGAGTTATCATTTATTATGTATTCTATTGTGAAAGAAGAATAACATATATCATATTTTTATTACTTCAAAGGCCACAAGAAATTTAAATTTCGGCATTAAATGACACATAAAGGAGTTGACATGCCATTAAACAAACAAATCAAGTCAATCAATTAGAATCGATCTACAAATAAATTTGAAATAAATTATTCAGTGTATAACTTGGCATTATTAAACATAAAAACTAATATTTTGGAAGAGTAAGGATGGATTAAATTACATAGTATAAAATTGGAATGTTTTTCACACTAAAAAAACTATTCAATCCTAAAAGTTTTCAAAAAATGAGTGATACTTCTTATATTTAACAACTGCTTACCTGCTCGTTCGAGTCTTTTTCTATGACCAGGTAACATGATCTCAAGGTCATCGTAAATGTCATCGTCAGGTAATACCATTTGTTGAATTATATTCAAGTTGTCGCGGCCTGACTGCAGAAAGTTTATATAGTAATACTCGAGCATGTTTTCTCGGAGCCATTCGTACAATTCCTGTTCCTCTGAGGGGCGGTAAAGACAAGCTGTATTAAACAAAAGAAAAATCTCTTAGAATGAAGTACGAAAATAAAAAAAACAAAAAAAACTTTCACTAAATTTCGTAGGCCTTCATAAATATTTATTGATAATTATAAGGCCACAAATATGAAGCAGTCTGTGAGAATCGAACTTACGTCTCAATAAAAAAGGATTTATGCAGTCTGCACGTTAACCATTACTTTAGCATGGTTTTATTAGACTGTAATGTTCGAAAAAAAAAAGCCAGTAAACATCCTATACAGAATTTCAAAATGGTTAATTAAAAAGAGTTTAATTAAACTATTGTTTAAGAAAGCCCTGTCTCTTCAGGATACAGGCGATCATGGGTCTCCACTGCTTTTTTTTTTCCTAATATCTACAAACTGTGCATTATCAAAATTCTTTTTGGGAAAGATTGTGGAGTTGTTTCCTGTTACTTTCTTCGTTTTTCTAAAATAATATTCTCCTAAACTGATTGACAACTAAGGCTAGAGAGCAAAGTCAACCCTACTATTTAGCTCATAGCAGTGGATAGAGATAGATTCATGTCTTTCCCAAGAGCATTAATACGAAGTGAAAACAAACTGTTTCAATTGGAATTTGAACTCGGTTGCCCCGTTGTTTTGAATTCAGAATTGTCATCATTCTAGATTGGTTGCTAAAGAGAGCCCGCTTACCCAACATAAGGATTCATACCTTCCCCAATGGCAAACAAACTGGAATTTGAAGTCAGTTCTACCTTTAATTTCTGAAAAGTGGCTTGTTTCTTCTGCATAATAATGGCCTCGACAACTACAAGTCTTTCGTTACAGTGAGTGCAGTATAAATAAAGAACAACCCACATTAAATAAAAATAAGTCGTTATCTTGAAGTGTGCATAAAATAATTTATATATTTACAAAATAATAATAATAATAAGAAAATAATAATAATAACATGTATAAATAACTAGAAAGCTCCGTGGAAATTTCACGGTTTTCCTATTTGAATATTCTGATGAATATTAATTCTTCAGTTAATGATTGAATAAGCATATGGCGAATTCTACAATAAAATATCCGTAGAAATTTCCATATCGCATCGTTAAATATTTGTGCTTAACAATTTTAACAAAATATTGCAATACTTTAGGCCTTGTGCCACATCTAAGCTACGCTTAGAAAATAACTATAAATATGAAATGTTCGTCATTATTTAAGAATTATGTATAAATCAAAATATTTGAAATTGACAACTTTTCCATTTCATTGAAACAGCCGTTAAACATTTTTGTCTTCCCTTCTTTCTTTCTTTCATTTATTTTCTCACTGAAAGCAAGTTGCGTCTCTAATATGCGTTTTGTTTTTCTATGCAATCAAAACGGAATAGTTTATTATTTATGTGGTATTGGCAGGAAATGTTGAACACTTCTATCTTCTATTCTTTTTCTCTTTTTCTCACTGAAACCAAGTAGTGTTTTCCTTTTTTTCACGCGATGAAAACGGGGTAGTCCATTATTTATGAGGTATTCGCGGGCGTAATGGTTGTGTAAATTAACGAAAGCAGGGACAAGTACAATCATAATTGGATAATAATAATAATAATAATAATAATAATAATAACACGTATGAATATTTCATATATCCTTTTTCTGTCAGACTCGAGCCATTACACATTATGTAACTTTGAATTAAATTGAATTCCAGCGCTCAAAAAAAAAACAAAACAAAAAAAAACTACATAGCCAACGAAATCTTACCTACCACACTGACAACACCCTGTTCTTGATAATGACTGAGAGAGTCAAGCGTACTGTCAAAAACAGAACAATACACACACACACACACACACATATATATATATATATATATTAACCTTTTCACCTCCTAAGCAAGGCGATGATGGTGCTAGAACGCAGTGGGGGGGGGGGTCAAAGGGAGTGAATGTGAACAAGAATGAGAAGACTGAAAATGGGGATGATTGAGGAAAGTACAAAAAAGAAACAGGGTTAAAAAAGACAGAAGATGGCGATTGATTGATGTTGCATTTAAATTTTTCATGATTGTAGTTATCAAGGAAGCAAACAATCGGAAGGGAGTTCCACAGGTGGGAAGTGCGACAAAATAAAGTCTTAGAGTAGAAGTAGCGGTTGTATCTAGCTAGTTCAACAGTAGGTGTGTGTGTGTGTGTGTGTGTGTGTGTGTGTGTGTGTGTGTGTGTGCGAAAAGACTTCCACCAGACCCACTTCTCAAAATCTCACCCAATGACCAAACATAAGATTTTTAAGGGTTTCTTTGTCGGACTCCAAACCTTTCAGCACCCTCTCGTATATATAGCAGTATTTTTTCCGAAAATTTACAGAGGCAGTTATCATTTTAGGGACACGTAATTAGGGAAAATGTTTGGAGAATCTAATAGGCATAAAACGTACTGAAGGCAAAAGAAAACAGTCAGTAACCTAGTTAACGAGTTTGTGCGAATGGATGGCAGAACACGGACAATGAAAGATGGTAAAGGATTAAAAGTTAGCTAGAGCGACAAAAGACAAGAAGTTGTGGAGAGCTATGATCCACCATGCGTTGAATAGACTTTTTTTTACATTGATGTTTTTTTAAACTTTTTGGCGAAGATCACATGCAAGCGAAATATGCACTAAGATAAGATCAATATATCAGCAAATATGATAACTTGACATTTCGATAGCTTTTTCATAATTCCCTATCGAAAGATTAAAGGGCTAGGAATGAACTTCTCGTAACACCAGTGATTATCAGGTCGGCTCATCTAAAGAAGACTAAAAAGAGATATAAACTAACAATATAATCATGTAATCATTTCATATCTCGCCGCCTTTTTCTTTAATATCTTATCTGCTGTGTTATGGAACCAATTATCTTTAGCAGATGTCATATGATCCGTTACGACATTTATCAACAGCATCATATGAACTGTTAACCTTTGGACACTTTCAAATTTCATGATTTGCACTTAAAATATAGATTGGCGCTACATAATCGTGGTTATATTCCAAAGTGATAGATACGCCATATTAAATCCATAACAATTAATTATTATATCATTTCGTAGTTATGCAGTGAATCCCAACATTTAACCTATATGTGTTCGTTTTATACACATATTGCGCACCGGAATGCTTCCAAATATATATTCTAGGGTTTTACAAAGTTTTGGGCCTCCATGACATCTTTCTTTCCCATGGGTTGATCCGAGAGTGATCATTTCTCGACTAGCATTCTGGAATAGTTTCCGCATGATTGCAGGAATTTTAACAATATTTGTACCTACTCAAATGATATACATTTATTCAAATTAAAATTTATATAGGAATTCTAAGGAATCGGGCTTTGGTTAATTTGTTGACTATTGGTATTTTGGCCAATCAGGAGAGTGGAATCCTTTTTGTCCTTAATCCACCTGTACATAACAAACCCATCAACGCCCGTTTGTAAGTATAGAAAAAATTAGAATGCCCACTAAACTGTAACCGTTTACAAACTAACATAATATAACCAGCTATTGTAAGATCCAAACAGATCACTTTAAGAAAATATAGACGAATAACAGAAGGCCCCTGGAAGCTGAGAAGCTACCATTTGACAACAAAAATATACAAATAACACAGAATATATATGCAAACAGAAATGCTTAAGTTAAAATGCATCAACAGCAACACAGAAAATAAGAAAACAGCATCAGTTTGTACCAACACATTCAAAACAAAGTAACCTTTGTTTTGATAAGAAAATAGAAATAATCACCTTCCCAAAACAATATAAACTCTTAAATAAAAGATCAGAGCTCATTTACCATGTTGATGCATATTCATTTTATTCCGAGTACTTTCGACATAAGCGCAATATCATCACACACGTCTTGTTTTTTCTAATACAAAATTGTTTTGTTCATCTGAAAATTAAATTTTTACTTGTAAAGTGAAAAACGTTAAACTTATCTACTGTAAGATTTTTAAATCTTATGATGTAAGCATACACGTGTAGTAACGTCAAGGGAGGCAACTAAGTTATTGAGATGTCTGGGTTTTTTTAAACTATTTAAAGCTATTAGTCAAAACCTAGATATTTTAAAACTATCTACTGTAAATATTTTAAAACATTTGTGCAGTATTCATAGTTAATTTTATTAAGGGTTGGTTTCAATTTTTGATATAGATAGCTTCAAGAATTTTTAGTTTATGTTTATTATATTCATGAAAAATTATAGATGTATTTTCAACAAGACTTTTTCTAAATTGCGAATGAGGGCAGTCATGCTGTTGTATAATGTTGAGACATGTTAGATGCATCATCCAAATGAAAACTTAAACTTCTAGACAACGTAGTTGTGGTGTGAGTAATATATATTATTATTTTTTCTGTAGGAGATAGAATTTCCCCAGGGACATTTAAATTTATATATAGTGTTGGTTCTCTGCAACACGTTAAATGGTGGGGAGGAGTCATTACAGATGATTAAATTGGATATATTGAATTTAGTATAGTATATAATTAAGCTTATTTTTATATTAGTATTTATTAATTTTTATTTTTTATATCAATATTTTTAATAGAACATTTTATTTGTATATGGACGATATAATTAGGGAAGTTATTAATAAGAGTTTGTTTTATATGTTTAGTCAACTATAGAAAATCTTTTTGTGGATGAGTTAATTTTTTCACGGTTTATTAGATTTTTTATAATTGATATTTTATAGTAATTTGGACATTCACTCTTATAGTTAAGAATGCACGAATTTATGCTAGTAGGATTTTTATATGGAGAAATAGTGAATTTATTAGTGTTTATCAATATATCTAAAAAAGGAATTTTATTACTATTATTAAGTTCGTATGTAAATTTAAGGACAGAATTATTTTGGAATTGTTTTTTGAGTTGATATATTTCATCCATATTCTTCACAAAAATAAGGATATTATCGACACATCTTAAGTAGATGGAGGTTTTTATAAATTTATTATTTTCAAGATAGGACATATAGAAATTACTAAAAGTTGGGCTCAGAACGGACCCTATAGAGACACCAACCCGTTGTATATATATATTATTTTTATGATCGTAGATTGGGACTTCAGTAGTGCAAGTTAACAGTAGTTTCCGTGAAGTTCACCTTGTACTAGGCCCGAGGGCGACTTGAGATAGAGAGTTACAGAGTAAAAGGCACAGTTTCTGAGGATATGTGTGGAAGATAACGTTAACTAGACTTGAACAGTTTAGAATTGTAGTGACTGGGGAAGCAATCTCTTGGGAGTCGGTTCTACAAGGCAGAGGCTCGCAGGAAGAAGCTACTCGAGTGGAACTTGCATCGCACTAAGAGAATAAGAAGGGAATGAGGGTTCTTGGTTACAATGTGTGAGGCATGGCGGTTCTGAGTCGTGAAGGTTAGAATTGGAGGAACTAAGTAATGTAGTTCATCTAAACATTCACCAAAGGAAATAGTGACAGATGAGAGGCTTGCCACTTCTCGTCTGTGAGAAAGGGGTTGTGGTTGGGAAATAATCCATCATCTACAAAGACGCGGAGACGCTTTTAAACTCTTTTGAGAGTGAAAAGTGAAGATTGCGAAGTTCCTGTTCATATATGGTATCGGTACTCTATTTTCGGCCTGATCTTGTAAACGTAGAGGATAGTTGGAGTGAGGTACCTGCAGCAGTTGTACAGGGAATATATATATATATATATATATATATATATATATATATATATATATATATATATATATATAGTAATGTGATCAATATAGGGATATAGCATATGTAAATATAAAAATGGACCCAAAGGCGACTGTCTGTTTCATACATGACGATTGAGCTTAGCATGGCGTCTTTGGATGTTGACTTCAGTATCCCCTTACACACACACACACACACACACACACGTATATATATATATATATATATATATATATATATATATATATATATATATATATACCAGATGCTATCACAAATTCGGAAAAATTTATTCAGATTGATAATTCTGTTCGTCTGTTAGGCAGTTTCCTGCCGGCCATTTCTTCCGAAATCACTCCACCAAGAAATAATAAATCTCATTTACTAGCAATGTTTTTCCGCTGATTTTTATATATTTTTTTCATTATTATTATTACTATTATTATAGTTGTTTTGCAGCCTAAAATCGCCATGGAGTTGATGACCATTGCCCGCTGGTTTCTCATTTTTATTGGCTGCTTTCTGATTTGAGAGAATGAAAGGTCTCAGGATTAATAGGAGGTAGCATTTTGCTATTTAATGGAAGCCGTGATGAGATAGTAAGCATGGTTTTTCAGGTAAATACGATTTGACTGGCACAAGTTTGATAGATAGTTTGATAATTATCAATATCTTTATGCATGAGTTCCTAAATGGACAAGGCTCACTTGAACTCAGTTTATTAAAATAAGCTGTAAAATGATAGTTCTTTTTGCCACTTCCTGTGAGTCATGTGTTCATATGTCGCTGTTGTTTCTTATACACTATCTATCTATCTATCTATCTATCTATCTATCTATCTATCTATCTATCTATGTTAGCCTATTAATATCTATCTATCTATGTTAGCCTATTAATATATATCTATCTATCTATCGATCTATGTTAGCCTATTAATATCTATCTATCTATCTTAGCCTATTAATATATATCTATCTATCGATCTATGTTAGCCTATTAATATCTATCTGTCTATCTATCTATCTATCTATCTATCTATCTATCTATCTTAGCCTATTAATATATATCTATCTATCTGTTGAAAGTTGACTAATGCATGGAATAATAATACAACACAAAAAAATTTACTTAGAACAAAATGTATTGAAACAAGAAAGGTACACAATATTTACATATAGTCTTTTGTATATTCCTGGGAAGACCGTTACTGGAGAATGTGTTGACTTAGTCGCAGTCGGGCAGAGTCTCTGGATTGAATCTCTTGATTCCTCCTCTCGTCTTCCCGGTACCAACCATATTTATATGGTCGGTACTCCACTATGCAAATTAGGTGGATCCTACCACAACACTATCTATCGATCTACCTTAGCCTATAAATATCTATCTATCTATCTATCTATCTATCTATCTATCTATCTATCTTAGCCTATTAATATCTATCTATCTATCTATCTCTGTCATTTCATATCTATATGTATCCATCGACACAGCATTATTAAAATAAAAGTGACTTTTACGTAAAATTTTCCCGTTTTCTTTCTTTCTTAAATTCTACTGCTCTTTCTTGCTTTCTTTTTTCTTCATCTTTTCTTTCTTAGAGTTTGTCTATATTTCTGAGATGAGGTATTATGTACAGTATTTACATTAGTCGGACTATTGTCCTCATCTTTGTCGCCATATTTGTCACAACGTTTCGGCCGTTGTACGCTCCGGCCTTCTTCAGGTGGTTGGAATTTCGAACTGAACCCTTTATTTCGCCACAACCATCAGGCGGGTGCCATACTTGGACATCATTGCCAGAGTAGAGGAGGTGGCCTTGAACATCCCTCAGGCTCAGGCGGATGAAATGAGATGGAAAGTGAGACAGGTCTTGGAGAGAGCCAAGCTGCCCAGGTCTAACATAACAAAACTGGAGAGACTGGCGATTGAATCACTCACAGAGGAATGAGAACATCATCATACTACCGGCTGACAAAGGTAATGCGACTGTAGTGATGGACAAATCGGACTATACAAGAAAACTGGAAGACCTCATTAGCAATGGTAGCTACAGCATAGTGAAGAAAGATCCTACTATGAAAACGGAACGCAAACTGTCACAGATCCTAATCAAGAACAAGGATCACTTCGCACCCAAGACGTATAGGCAGTTATCGCAGCGTTACAGCAAGTTACCTCACATATACGGTCTCCCTAAGATTCACAAAGACGGTATTCCACTCAGGCCGATTGTTGGTTGCCAGGGAGGCTCTGTGTGCCACCCTCTGAGTCGCTTCCTTGTAGATATAATTGACCCATTGATCGGAAAGTCTCTTTCATATGTCTGAAACTCCGCCCACTTCGTGGAAATAATCAAAGATGCTCCCATCCTATCCAACCAGATGGTGAGCTTGGACGTGGTGAGTCTGTTCACCAAGGTACTCACGGAGGAGGCACTCTCAGTAGTCAGAGATAGATTAACCTCTGACTCTTCCCTAGAGGAGCGGACCAGTATTCCAATAGATAATCTGATGGAGATGTTGACTTTCTGTACACAAACAACACTCTTCGGAATGGGATCTCACATATATCGACAGGATGAGGGCTTAGCAATGGCTCGCCATTATCACCAGCAATGGCGAATATATACATGGAATACTTTGAAGAAATGGCATTAGAGTCTATATATCGCTAAAGCCAACTATATGGTTACGGTACGTAGATGACACTTTCATACTCTGGCCACATCAGGAAGAAATCCAGGTTCTTCTGGACCATGTGAACTCAATAAGACCTTCGATACAGTTCACAATGGAGAAAGAGAGTAACAATCACTCCCCATTCCTGGATGTACTAATATCTCGAACAGAGAATGGGTTCAAGACATCCGTATACCGTAAACCAACATTCACCGGACAGTACCTCAATTTCAACTCCCACCATCCATACAGCGTAAAGAAAGGGATCGTCCGATGCTTACAACACCGAGCAAAAAGTCATAAGTGGCGATCCAGAGACGTTAGATAAGGAATTGGTCAGTATAAGTAGTACCCTACAACGCAACAACTACCCTGGGTACATGGCAGCAGCCCCCAAAAAACTGGGATAGGCGGGTACAAGAGGAGGAGGAGGAGGACAACAACACTCAGAAAAACAGTCTGCCTGCCTTATGTGAAGGGGTTGTCAGAGAAAATACAAAGGATCTGCGGTCCATATAACATCAGGACAACCTTCAAAAGCGTGACAACACTTCGCAGGTATCTCTCACGAGTGAGACCCCCAGAGAGGGAACATGACTAAAGACTGTGTGTACGCTATCCCATGCAGCTGCGGAAAGGAATATAAAGGAGAGACAGGCCGCCCCTCAAGGTAAGGCTTCAAGAACACCAGAAAGCTGTAACGCGAGGGGAAGTAGAAAAATCAGGCGTGGCTGACCACATATGGAGAGAGAAGGAGATCACCGCCCCCTGTGGGATCATGTTGAGATCATAGACAGGGAACACCATTGGAAAATTCGTAAACTTAAGGAATCAGCACATATGCTAGGCCACAAAAATCTCCTGAGCCGACCAAGCATAGAAATAAATACAATATGGGAACCAGTAATAAGGAGTGCCAGAGAAAAGCAATGATAACAAAGTTGCAATATGAACTCTGGTAAAAGACATGCAATGAGCACTGGTAAAAATGATGCTGAAAACATTAGGTTTATAATACTCAGAAGTTCATACTCAAGGACACATGGCACAGTGGATAAAGGCGTTGGTTAGATCCAGTGACAGACCCAAAGAAGGTGAGTTCAATTCCTGGTTAAGGCAGTGGAGAACTTTCAGAGGGAAAATTAGCAGGAGATAACTGACATCCATGGCACGTGGAATTAGAACAGTCTACCCCAGTGATCGAAATAAAGGGTTCAGTTCGAAATTCCAACCACCTGAAGAAGGCCGAAACGTTGTGACAAATATGGCGACAAAGATGAGGACAATAGTCCGACTAATGTAAATACTGTTTTCTTTCTTAATATTTTTCGGTCACTTATTATTCTCCACGTACGATAGACCCACAGATGAAGGTCCTGTTACGCCAATCCTCCACATTAGAAAACTCTGCCTTCTTTTTAAAAACCACACACACACTGTCTTTCTATTTGTCTCTCTCTCTCGTTCTTACAGGACTATATATATACAGTTATGTAAACTCATCGGTACATATTATATCTACATATAAATTTAATTGGCATATATCCACACACGCACGCGTGTGCGCTCACTGTTCGGTTGTATTCATTTGAAAGTATATATATATATATATATATATATATATATATATATATAAAGCACAAAGCACATATAGTACACGCATAACAAAATTTTATATACCAGATTATTCATTTATTAATTTTAATGTACCAGACTATTCATTTATTAATTTTAGATTATTTTACAGCAGACAATACATATGCGGAATTCAGTGAAGCTCGAACTTATTACTGATTATCTACAAAACAAGTATTCAATTATATATATAAAAATGGAGGAGTCTGACATCCGATTAAATAGGATCTTCTACACATTCATATTTGCATGTAAGCACAAGTGCACAAACATGCACGCACACACATACATATACAAACACACACATATACAAATACACACACTGCATATAGAGAAGACGTGTATATGCAATAAGAAACGCTAACAGCCATTGTCTTTCGCTTGCCTAGTTGTACACATGCCCAACACGTGCGTAAATATTGCGTACCTTTGTTGTAACTTTCCATTCATTTATTTTTCATTTAAACAATGTCTAGACAATTGTAAACACGAAACCTTAAGCGCAAATAATCTTTTCTCCCTTTCTTTTTATAGAATATCCGGTTTTACAATAACAGCTAACTTAATCGATGCCTTCTAGATTTAAACAGCTTTTTCAATCTTCATTAATCTCTGATGTATAATGTTTTTAATTTGACCTTTCCAATTATAATGTGGCAGTTTCGGTGCCCTGTCGTGGAGCAGAGCTTAATTAACCATTAAGCAAAATAAGGAAATACTTAGGGCAGATAAAAATGCGGATATCATAGATTTTTGTTTTCTTCTGAAAGCATTAGGTATAAAACTGCAATCACATATTCTGTGTTTACTTATGGGATCTCTCAGCATTAAATTTTGAAAGTTTCAAATCATTTAAGGATTGTAGTGAAGAGCTCGATTTATAATGCAATTATAATGCTAAACTGGACCTTCACTTTCTGTCCATCAGGTTAAATCCACTGTAACTTTATCTTTATTTTTAACCATATGTAGTAGACTGAACATTTCCTAATCGGTAACAAACGTTATGACCACTTTTATGTCTTTCATAAACATTTATGTGAAGAACAAAAAAAAACTCTTTTCAGTATCATTGAGGTATCCGGATGTAACCTTTTTTTTTTTCTTTTTTTTTTTTAATAAGCCTTGCTTCTGAGCCTGACTGTGGCGGCACAATGTCAGGCACAAGTTAATTTCTAGTAGAAGGTAATAAAAAGAATGTTCTGAAAAAATGGCCAGTGAAGAGTATTCCTTCTCAAGATTATTTTCAACCAATCAAAAAGACGGAATGTGGAACCTGAGACAATTTTGAAATATGAGTCAGTGTGAACTGTTAGACGAGAAGCCGTCATCTAGCTCAGTCAATATTCGTTGTGATTCTGTTCGTGAGGGAGTAGTGAGAGTAAGATGGAAGCGAGAAGAGAAAATAAACTTAGCCATGTATTGAGAAAAGAGATCACTGTATTCTGAAATATCCATGTCCCTCAAACAACATGCACAAATTTAAAAATGGATAATATTAAACATGTCTGAAACAAACACACAACCAGATCAAGTTTTCCTTAATAAAACGACATCGACTAATTTTCTTCGCTTATCACTTTACAATGGAGTACCAACTTCTGAATACTCTTTCGTGGACTCTCTCGCCATTATGTCAGCCTTCCAACTTCCAAATGGCCCAACAAAAACTGTTATTTTCTCTCTTTAAATGACCGTCTGTGAATTTTGCTGGTACTTTATTCTCTTTATCATGGACTTTTATAATTTCTGCTACTACCCACTTTCTTAAGAACATTTTCATCAGTCACGTCCCCACTACTGTAATGTTGCTTCCCTGTGCCTTTTTCTATAAATATTTTCATGGTAAGTGTTCTGATGAGATTTCCTCTATGGTACCTAGACTTTAAGCACAGTACTAGATTGGCGGAAAGATCTCATCTTCTTACAGTTGAAATGGCTAGATATAACCGTAAGTTCTATGCTAACAGTTTCGTCTATCGGACTTCTCGCATGTGGAACTCTCGCCCGGATTCTTGCTTTCCAGTCAAGATTGGTCTTCAAAAATTTAAATAGAGTGTCAATCGTTATCCGTCCTAGGTATGACGATAAACTACAACTCGCAGCAAGGTCTCTGATCGGGCGGTTTTGAGGAGCGTGGAACCACTTCTGACTTGGGCTC